ACAGCGCCGAGTGAGGAGCAAAATGAACGCCCGCACAGAGACCAAAGTTGACCAACATGATGTTGAGCAATGATTGAGAGTGACGTTTTGTTGTCAAATTCGATATTGACAGGTGGCCCAACTGCATCCGAGCTTGCCTTGAATGACTGCAAGTGTGTTCAAGGCTGCGTCGTCATGTCTTGAATCACAAGTATGCGCTGCATGTCGGGATCATGGTTCGCACACGTGCGTGCTTGCTGGCTCATGCTTGCAGGTTTCGGACAATGATGTTGCCGAGCAAGAGGTTGGGGTGCGTCACAGAGAGGGCAGCTGACTGTTTTCGAAAGGATGCCACTTGGAGATTCTGACTCGTGCTTAGTGCAGAGCAACTGGCTGGTCAATCGTTGCTTCTGGGTGTTTTGGGTGTGTGTATAGGTGAGCAAACTGTCGGTCAAGAGGCCTTCAGCTTACTGTTTGGGCTCGGAATATTAAGAATGCTGTTTGCTTCAGATTTGGATTGCGATGCATGCGGCTGGTTGGTAAGATGATGGACCTCTAACACTAGGAGAGCTGCGTGATGGTTCCAAATGATTTCTGAGCGAAGAGTATGATGCAGCTGCACATCCGGAAATCCCGGTTGTCCAAGTCTTGCCGCGTAGTCATGCTAAGTAAACAAGGCTGTGCAAGGTTCCTCGGCCACCGTGTCTTGTCAAACTTTTTCGTGACATTGCATTCATGGAACACTTCGGCCTAACATCTCGCCGAATGTAGAGTAGGAGGGCCAAAGCCGCCATTTCAGGCCGAGCCGGACTTCTAGCCTTAAGACGACGACCCGCCCAGTGCCGCACTATGGCCCAAAAGATTTTGCATGGATTTTGCGCGCACTTTCGGGCGTTCTAAAAGCCAGCTCTGAGCCTTCTAGGCCGCGTTCTGGAGCGAGTTCCGGCCGGAGCGGAGGAGAAGGACTTACACCATCAACGAAACAGCCAGAGACTACACCGTAACGTAGCGCAGTTTTGAAACATGGAT